GGCACATAGACATGGTTAGATGACCTGCTGAAGTTCAAACTGACCATCAGATTGGAATAGAACGGTAATTTAAGTGACTTTGAAGGCTGCGTTATTGTTCGTGCCAGACAGGCTGGTCTGAATATTTACCACATTGAGGGTTTAAAAAGGTGACAAAATATCCAGTAGCAGCAGTTTGCTGCTTCAAAAATGCCTCGTTGATGCCAGAGATCACAGGAAGATGGCCAGACAGCTCTCAGCTGATGGGAAAGCAACAACGATTCAAATAACCACTTGTTATAACAAAGGTATGCAGAAGAGCATCTCTGAACGACCACACAGGTGTCACTTTTGTCAGCTACGAATGAAAAACTGAAGCTCCAGTTCACACAGGGCTACCAAAACTGGACAAAAGAAGATTGGAGAAACCTTGCCTGGTCTGATGAGTCCAGTACCAACTGAGAAATGTTTAAATGCCAAACCCTACATGATTATTGCTGCCGACATTGTCCATTCCTTTATGACCACAATGTACCAATCTTCTAGTATGTGCACATATCTTAACATTGAGCCAAATCTCTGAGGAATGTTTCCAGCACCTTGTTGAATCTATGCCCTATATCGATCATATATATCATATAAGAGAAAAGGGGAATTATTTGGGGATATTTGATCTGTGCCTTGGTTTAATATTCTTTGATCTACAAACATTTCCACGAACACATTTTTAGGACCAAAGTCATTTTATTATTGGGAGTTTTGCACAGTGAATTAAACCAGGTAGACTGAGTTGTTGTTCCAGAAAATGTCTTCTGACTAATAGCAGCACAGTCACAGTCAAATAAAAACAGAAACTAAACAAAAGGGTTTTGTTGGACCGAGCATAAGGAGTCAACGCCCAGCATCATTTTGGCCAGACGTTTTCTACAAAGTTCAAATGTAAGAAAGAATCTTGGGTAAAAATAGATGGACAACAACGTGGCAACACAAGAATCATACCATTCACTTTAAAGATTGTCATCTTTAGCATTCTCCAATAAGATTCCTATAAGAGTCCTGTTAATTTCAAGTTTCTCTTTGACTGACATCGTGACTTGTTTATTTTTTAGTGAGGTTCAACTACGGCACACGTTGTCCTTATATTCATGGAAAGGTATGACTGTCTTTATTAAATAAGTGGGTTTATTACCACAAATCACAGAGTAAATAAACAACAGTCAAAATAAAGGTTGCATTTAGTTACAAAGTTATTTTAGGTGGAAACTTAATTACAGAATATATTAAACAATCATATTTCATTAAATCAATCATATTAAATTAAACATTTTCACTCAAAATTCCTGTATGTATATACAAAATAAAGGATGTGATGAAATGCCACTGTAAGTAACAAGATGCCCCTTAGATTGATTTTTATACAGAAATCCTGTTTAAGCAGAGGATACTGATAAGGCTACTCAGCAAACAGAGTATCTTAACCCCTTAGCAGTCCAATTAGTCCCCTAAACCATCCAATGTCCCGTGGGCGGTACGTCCGACTGCTAAGGGGTTAAACTATATTACAAACTAGTGTCACAGTCTTCTTAGGTTCTTAGCTCGTGAGTTGATCTTAGTTTACTAGGTGGCACTGTGTCCCAGTAGCTTTCTAATCTGCAGCCCCTGAAATTATACCTAAGCACCACTGCAGACAGCATAACAGTTATATTTTATTCGCATTATTCTTCTGTGTCTTTCTCTACAGAGAAGAGCAACAGATGAGTGCTACTTCTTAGAGCGGCTCGAGAGCAACAACTACAACACCTACCGCTCCAGGAAGTACCCAAACATGTACGTGGCGCTGAAGCGGACTGGCCAGTACAAGTCTGGAAGCAAAACTGGACCGGGTCAAAAGGCAATTCTCTTTCTCCCAATGTCTGCTAAATGCTAATCTGGGCTCAGAGTGAGAGATACTGATGTCTGAATGAAAAGATGTGACGGCAATGAAGCAAGCCATCAGCATTGCCCAAAATAGCTGTGAAGCTTTACTGTTAGATCCTAACAGTTATTATTTTATCATAAACATGTCTGCAATTATTCAGCTTCACTTTAAAATTAGCACCATATAGTCATACCTTTTATTATATTATAATATTATTATTACTATTATTATTAACCAGAATTTTACTGTAGACCAACCAACTGGAGCCAGCTGCCTAGTGCATCTCAGTTAAACAGCAGTACAACACAGTGGGTTTTTAAAAAAAAAATTAACATAGCTCTCTCTCCATAAGGATTCAAAACAGCTATCTGCTTAACCTTAACCTAATGAAAGTCTAAGTTGGAGTCTGGGTTTAAGTGCAGGGTGTTGGTAATATACTGCATATTTGAGTGTTTTCATAAATAAGAAAACACGTTTAAATCCCACAATAATCTAACTGTATTATAGAAGTCTGAAAAATATAAAATTTGAATTAAAAGAAGAAGAAACACTAAAAGCAAAACCCAAGCATTTCTTCTCCTTTTGAACACGTAGGACTTGGACTGTTAAATAGATAAGTGTTGACTTGGTGAATTGTTGTATTATTGGCTGTTGATTGTGCTTGTTCGGCAAGAAACACAACCTTTAAATCCCAGCACAACATTTTAAAGACATTGCTTTGCCTTGTCATCACCATATTACTGACTGTGAAAAAGTCATTTAAAATCAGCGGTCCCCAACCTTTTTTGCGCCACGGACCGGTTTATGTCTGACAATATTTTCACAGACCGGCCTTTAAGGCGTCGCGGATAAATACAACAAAATAAAACCAGTACCGGTACCAAAAAAAAATGTATTCATAACACATGGTAAAAGACCCAGAGAAACAGAGTTAATGCTAAAAACAATTAAAAAAAAAAAACTATAAAAACCGATAAAACCCCTGAAACCCATAAATTTCACATCCGAGCCTGAACTCTTGCGGCCCGGTACCCTACGACTCGGGGGTTGGAGACCGCTGATGTAAATGACCAACATGGAGAGGAAAACCTATATTCATTGCTGGCAGTTGTTTGGGTGGTAAAGAATTCATTTTTGACTTACAAAGTTGGCAGTTTTTTCCTCCATATACCCCCTCCAATTTCTGAAATGAAACTGGAACCAAGATAAAATTAGCTAAAGTCACCACTTATCTCTGACAGTGATGTCATTTTTTATCATTGATTAATACATATTACAAGACCGCCAACTTTGGGTTTTGAACATGGCCACCAAGACGTGTTAAATAAAACATTTAAAACTGCAGCAATGCAGATGCAAAAAGCACCCTAAAATTTGCAGTGTGTTTTTAATCCAACCGGTTACACTGTAATTCTTCAAAAGTAACAGTCCAGCTATAAATACATTTTTAATATTTGACTAATGGTGACAACCGTGCTTCACCATATCTGGCTACAATGAGGTGATCTGTGGAGATCCTATAATTTCAGGATGGGAAACTGTCTGTAATATAACTGGTAAAACCTCCCAGAGTAAACAGCAGGAAGCTCCTCCATGTTGAGGTCAATCTTATCAAAGCCGTGCTCCAGGCCATGAAGCAGAAGACTGGCTAAGCGAGAGGTGATGGGCGTGGTCTCGCTGGTTTTGGCCAGCTCGCTGATGTCCAGCCACTCGCAGCGTAGACACTCCTGAGTGCAGAAGTTGATCTCGTAGGTTAGCGGGCTCAGCCGGCAGATGATGTACATGTCAGACATGCCGAAGGCACCGGGGTGGTTGTGCTGCTGCCGGATACTTAGCAGAGATCTGAACTCGGAGCGAACACCAGTTTCCTCAAACACTTCACGAACAGCAGTCGTACCTGAGAAAGATTTATTTAACATTTATACATGGAGGCATTTAAAAGACTTTGATCTAGGAACGATGATCCAATTCCACTGTCAGTATTACCTTGCAGATGGCGTTAAGAAGGGAAAAAGGAAAATACACATATATTTTTGAACATTTGATGCTGCTTTTCGGGTTGGGTCATGTACATAATTTTAAAGCTGCTTTTTAAAAGAAAAGGTGAATTTGAAGAATTTGCATATATATCATGTGCCTTATTTTGTATAGTTCAAATGAATGTATATGTATCATCTTTAAGTATAATGTTACACTCCAAAGAATTTAGCTACATGTACTGTATTAGTTCTTTTGCTCTGTTGAGCGTGACACTCACCAATATTTTCTCCTGGATCAGACAAACCACCGGGAAACTTCCAAGCATTCTTTGTCTGAAATTCCAGAGCAAAGTTCAAATTTAACTTCAATTGTGATATATGGCACTGCTGTAAATGTATCTTAGATAATTATCAACATGTACACTGCAACAAGGTCTATTTCAGTCTTAGTCTAAAGTCACTTAATAATGCCACATTTTGTTTCCTCTGTTAGAAAATGACCATGGATCAAGCTGTAATAATGAGATGAGAAATGCTCCAGTCTGAGCATCCTTTCATGTTATGTTTTAGGTTTATTTCCTCACTCTGGAGACTTTTACATTTGCTGCGGTGAAGTATGTCTTCCACAACTGTTTCACCACTTACCTTTGATATTTAATGACAGTATGCTGCTGGTTAAATTATGATGTCTGTGTATATATATTTTTGTAGTTACTTAAAGAATGTGCTGCGCTTTTTTTCCCTTGCAGATCCTCTCTTTGTGAGGAACACAAATGCACTACGGCATTTATTTTCATGTATTGTAAACCAAATGCTATATTTTTGGAACGGTTTCTAAAGTGTGCTGGTAGAAAGAAATAAAGAGACTTTGTGTAACAATAATTGTTGAGGTTCTTAAAAAGTCGAGCGTCTCTCTCTTCCCCACAGAAGGACACGCAGCTGAATGTAAAATCATTCCAAAGAAGTGCTGTAAGAATGCTGACCGTACGCAATCTGTTCACACTAAATCTACCGAGAAATGCTGCGTAAATGTCATTGCATGATGGTTAAACACTCTTACCATTACCTCATTCAGCTCCCTGATGGACATAATTACCTTGAGCCCACTGGGAATATGTAAGTTGTCCTGCAAGAGTGATAAAGTTTGGTTTCTTTTCAGGAAGTTCATAACCCTTAGCATGCTCTGAACAGACTCGGCCTGTAAGAAACTTTCTACTGCCAAAGGGCCAGACTGTTATAAAGCTCGTTTCCAGTAAACAGCTCGATAGGGAGGAGGAAAGAAGGAGGAGGAGCAGGGGAAGAGGAGATAGAGGACTCTCTACACTTCCAGGCCACTAACTGCTCGTCTCTGCTTTGGGACAAAATACATTACATGCTCCCATGACTGTAGACTGGTGCACATGTTAGATGTAAGCAAAATCTGTCATTTATAATGCAACATATGGATTTGTTAAGATCTGTTTCTTAACTTAAAAGAAATGTTTTAAATATAATATTTGTACCTATACCTCAGTATAATAACTGGGTTAATAAAGCTGGATCTTGCATACATAGGTCAAACCTCTTGGATCAGGACTGCAATAGTTTCTGTTGGGTTTGGCACTGATCACTTCTTTTATTTCTAGCAGACATTTGAGAGATGTTTTTTGCATGTAGAGGTCCAGCCTTTTGCCACTTTGCTTTGACAGTGAACAATGGTACATGTGTTGCAGTTAATGTTTGTGGAACAAACATGCTCATGTGCTGGTTTTGTGGCATGCCAGCACAGGTAATACTGACATTATCTGCAAAGCTGCTGAAAATGTCAAAATATATAGTAGATAGTAGTGAAAAAACAGAAACTCTAAAGTTACCTAATTGTTTCTGTATTACTTAACTTTTTATCTGTCTAACATATAATATGATATGTTATCAAATAGAAACAGGCGGCTTTGCATTTTGCAGCCATTTCCTGCTCATTACAGAGAAACTACTACAGATGTTTCCATTTAATAATCCAGACATTACATATAATATTTACAGTATTGCTTTTAAACAAATTAGAATGCTCGGAACCTAATGTAGGATTAATTCAAGCATTATAATATAGTAATACTATCCAAATATGCCTAAACATCAGTCAATATTACATTTTTACAAACAGATTATTACAGTTTAAACTCTCTATATACATTCCCGTTTCTGCCTTGTTACCCTACTGTTACCACTGAGCTGTAATAAGATGCTACCAGAAAACTCTAAATTGGCAAAAATGTATGCCATCAACTTTTTCCAATGCCATCCAGTGGCCTGAATAGGAGTCTTTGCTGGGCCGCTTTTGGGCCCAGGACCTTATATTTGACAATCTAAATGTATGAACCTGTCTCTATTAATTACAAGGAAAATACCACATACTGTAATAAAAGATGTACACAGCCACCATAATGTCAGACTTTGGTTTGAAACCTTAAGTTCAGGAAGTTGGCTGTTGCTGTCCTGCATTTCATTTTGGTTTCTTTTTAACTGACCATGATGGTTACATAGTATGCTCAAGATCAAAACTACCTGACATCAGATTTTCCACTAGTTTAGGCTGCTTATTTGAAAAGGTCTTAACATCTTATAGAGGACATCTTATGAGAGTAACAGTTCCCAAATGACATCAACATTACACAATCACTTTTCAAAATTGCCAGCAATCTTGTTTGGGCTGACCGAAAATGCAAACAAAGCTGTGTCGAAGAGGATTCAAAAGAGGCCTGTTGTAAGTTAACTTCAAAACACCATGAACACTACAGCAGGGCTCTGTGAGAGCTTACAGACGCACACAGAACTGTTTGAGTGCATTCAACTCATGTAAACATCATGTTTGCTTGAGGTCAGCTAATTTTGTGTTGAGCTATGTTAAGTGTGAATGGATTTCCAGCCAAGGTTTGAGTCAACAGAGGCCCAAGTTACTAAATAAACAAATACTAATCATCCACATTTTAACAGCAGCATGACTGATCCATCAGTGGTTCATTTGTGTGACTGATATTGGACAGATCAGCTTTTAGGAGGATATAAGATGTGTAGATATAAGGTGTATAGCGCATTTAAATAATAAAGTCAAACAGATACCTTATTTCTGTCTTGGACAACAAGGACCTTTCCACTGGACTCATCAACAACTGCACCTGGACAAAACAATCAGTCAGACATTAATTTTATATATTATTCAAGCACCTGTGTCCCTATATGCTGGTTCACATTTTGCATATAAATCGTAATAATTTTAAGCAAAATGTGGTGGTAGACTGGCACAAAACCAATCATTTGGTTGGACACATAACACATGCATCATGTGGTGAAGAAGGCCGCTGTCAGGTTTCAGAAGATGACGGCTGATTTGTTCGTTTTCTGTTTTGCTTCAAATCTCTGACCTACAAATACATCAAGATGGTAACAGTCTGGGCTGCTGAGCTGGACAAGCTTGAAGATTTGAGTAATTTGGTGAACTAAAACTGTAATGACTTGAGGTGGTTGGCACTGTTGGCTCAAACCAAGGAGGTTCTGGGATTAAATCCAGTCCAGGGCCTTTCTGTGTGTTTGCATGTTCTGCCATGTGTTCCTTCAGTGTACTCCAACATGCCACAGTTCAAGGACATGCGTGGGGCTAGATTAATTTGTGACTCTTAACACTGACTGTATGCGATCTGCTTGTCTGTCACTATGTGTTAGCCCTGTGATAGATTGGCAACTTGTCTACAGTGTACCCTGCCGCTCCACCTGTAACATCTACAGTAGGCTTGAGGCGCTCCTGTAAACTTGAATTGAATAAGTGGAAGAAAATGGATGGATG